CTTTACGCGTGTTTTGGTTATTTGGCATCTGAAACCTGAACCTGGCCCTATTCCGGCCTATAAGTAAATTTCAATGGATGTAACTATCCTAGACATTACCCAAAATCTGCATTTCACTGATTTTCGCCAGCATGCTCGCAAATGCTAAAAGAGCATGCGTTAATTGATTGCTTTGAGAAAATTATACAATTCTTGTCTTTGAGCGAGGCATTTTTAACCAGTTACAGATTTCCCTTCACCAGAGATTAATCTACCTTCGACTAAGTAGGTCATTTTCTGTGAAACATGAAATTTTGGCGAACAGACTTTTTCACTGTCGTCAACCAGCCAGGAGATAAAAGTTATAAATCAAAGATTGATATAGTAGTATGTTGATGAAATACATTGGAATATCCGCCCTAGAAAATATAAGTCAATATAAGCTAAAACCACCTCAGACGGCCGTGCGCCCCTTTTCAAAATGCCTTAGGTAGTTAGAAACCCTGAGAAACTTTTATCTTATATGCTATTGTGTTCCTTAGATTTTTTTATTTTTTAAAGTACTCAGCACATAAGAGCACTCGTCCGAAGCTTATTTCAAAAATATGCCATGACTGATGCACCATATAAGTCTTCATCCCGTAGCATATACTTATGGCGTGATCCATACCAACAATCTGACACACTACAGAGTATGTTGAATGACAGAGAGACAAGAAGCAGTTTAAATAACTTCAATCTGACCAACGTTAAGGGCGGCGAAGGTAAATGGATAAAACGAATATACATTTAGGGCCACTGAAATTCAAAATAATGTTTGCGTTTTTTATTCAAAAGAATTGTCAACCCCGTCATGAAATGCTTTCACCTCTTTTGCCTCAATTATCTGGTCAACATGTGGCCTGATTTTATTGGCTAGTTTAATGCTGGACGATTTAAATCACCTCGCAGTGAATAGACTGATCGATAATGGCTTTCCTAAGACGGAGCAAACGTAGGTGAATTCCTGCTACACTCCGAAGGGCAGCATGGCGGATGATGAAGAGGAAGTGGTCATTAACTATCCGCGTGTCCATTATTTCCTCGAGGAGGAAATGTGCGCTGCAGCCGCCGAAAATAAGCTCAGTCAGTTGCGACGCATTCTTATGGAGAGAGTTGATCCTAATTGGCTCAACGGTTTCGGACTCTCTCCCCTACATATTGCAGCGGATAAGGGACATTTCGAAATTATGAAAATGCTCGTCTGCAACAAAGCCACTGTCGACATTGAGAACCGCAGTGGAGTCACCCCCCTCCACTTGGCGGCGCGAGGGGACCACTACAAGTGCGCACAACTACTCCTTCTTGCGGGTGCCGACGTATTCAAGGAGTGTTGGTCTCTGTGCACACCCCGCGAATTTGCACCGAAGAACAGTAAAACACGCTGGTTGCTTGAGAAGCGAGAACAGGGTGTCATACCCGACCCAAAGGATGTTTTTGAGATGAATGTGGAGCCAATCGTGCCCAAGTTTGCGATTCCTCAGCCCGAGCCGGATCCAAAGGCCAGGAATAAGCCAATGCCGAAACAGAAGAAGTGAGGGCTGAGGAGTTAGGAATCCGAAGAGCGTGCATGGGCTGCTGGGCTTATTATTTCTGACGCCAAATTGTAACCTACTCAAACTGTAGGTTGTGTATCAAAGCCCCTTCAAGGTTTCTTTTCAAACCGACTGTTTGCATTCGTTATTACAATTTTTCAGGGAATACATTTTGGAAAGGTTTCGGCTGTTTGGTTTTCTTGTGTGTTGATTTTTTACTTCATAAAATATTAAGAGGGAATCACTGTGCTCAAAGGTAGACTTCCTCATGCTATTTATAAAACGTTTTTCCACATAAGAAACCGTATTACGCATTGCCCTGCGTATATTATCCCCTGTCTGTCGCCGGATCCCTGTGACTCAGCTGTGATTAATTTCACAGCGTTCGTTGGGGCATGGCAAGTCAAGTTGCTAGTAAGTTGGCCGTATTGGCGCCTCGCCCTTGCACGTGTGGGTTCGAATCCCACCGATGTTTTCACGGCTGGCTCACCGGAATCATTTCAAGTCTACCAAAAGCTAAATGAGTGAGGTTAATTTGACGTCCAAATAGTCGATTTTACACTCCCTCCGGGAACAGCTGAGGTATTTATTATTCAGATCTTCTTCCCCCTCCTCCTGAAGTCACTCCACGCCACTGCGGAACATTCGAGAAATCGGAACTTGGTCTGCTGATTAATTCGGGTTTTCGGAATAAAAGAAACGGATAGAAACATCCGTGACAGGCTTCCCTTCAACGCAAATTCTCGTACTGGAGCAAGCTAGCACAGACAAGGCTTGAGTAGGAGCCTGTCGCACAGCTTAGGCCATACAGATACCCTAGCTTTTGCGAATATTCAGGCTCGGTCCCGAAAAGGAAGCTGTAACGTTTGACGCCATTTGAGAGGGTAGTGTACTCTGTGCAGAAAGATGGGATAGTAGGCTGGTAAATACAAATGGTATTAGGACGAGGGCATGTGCCCGGCGCCGTGAGAGCGTGCGTTCCTGAGTGACAGTTGGGAATGCGTCTCGATTTGGACGAGGTCCACCGTGTGTGCCACAGCACGGTTTCTTGCGCGTGAATTATATTCTCTTGGTAGAAGACTTGTGCCGCAGTCGGCACGAGGAATGGAGAAAGTGATTGGCTGGTTTTGAAAAGCGTCACTGACAGAGTACTAGCCTACCCTTGGTACGCGTGGGATAGTAGGCGCGACTGGCGCAGCGTTATAGTACGCACCCGGATTGGGACAACTTGTTTTATTTAAATTATTCTTTCTACTGAGGTTTATATTTCAGCAGTAATTTGTTATAAGAAACTAAACTTTCCAAAATCTTTGACAAATAGTCACTGAAAAGCATTATCAGAATTAATACGATTATTGACTTTAAGGGAAATAAATGGTCTCCATAGATAGGATCCCAATTTATTTCTTATAAACAATAGGTGTGAGTACGCACTATCTGTTTCTGCAGTTTGACTCACGTAGGCAAAAGAGGATCAATTTCGCTGTTGTTGAAAAACAATTCAATCAAAAGCTTGACATCGAACTGACAATAGTTCTCAAGACAGAGCTTAAGCAAATCCAAGACGTGCTGTTTTGGAATACCACCAGGATTTTCGTCTAAACCTCACCCTATGCCATCAATGGCCAAGTCATGCAGCATCCCGGAAGACAGGGAAACAACCTCGAATGAGACTGTCTCGCCGCCCTCTCTCTCTCTCTCGGGCAGGGCGAACCATGGCTAGAACTCCTAACACCTCAGAGATCAGCGCACTGACCTTGTGATCGGAGCTCGCATCGACAACAAGTAAGTCTACTGTCTGCAATCGCACTGAATCGCCATCCCCCCTCTTATACAGAGAGTCGTAGTAGTTCTTACCACCCTATCAAGTTCTAAATTCTACCGTACCTATGTGTCCACCA